GTCCTTCTATCTCCAGGATCTGTACAAATCGGCACATTATGCCAAAAGTCTTCTCACTGGGTGAGCTGCTTTGCAATATACTTCACATTGTTAGAAAAGGCTCCAGAAGGCCTTGGGGACATCAGTATCAGGGGCTGGAGCTGGACAGGCTCTTTCATCAGCACTTCTCCTTCCCTTTGCCAGCCAGGACCTCACATACTGTTCCGGATTGAACTGTCCTAGTGATGGTCCATTACATTTAATGAAAACCAGGCTGGACAGTCGGCTGACAGAGAGAGCATTCCTTTTTGCAGTAAGGATATCGTTCATGCAGCTGAATGCCCGCTCACACTCACTAGTGGAGACAGCGATGGTTCGGACTGCTTTCAGTAGAGGCTCCATGGCAGCAGGTGTACGGGATGCCCTGGTTTCCTTGTATTCGCGAAAGCCCTGAACAGTCTCTCTTCTGTCCACTTTCAGCACTTCGCACAAACGTAGCACCTCTACGTCCCCATACTGTACGTCTAACTCCTCTTCAGGCCAACTTCCAGGATGGATAACTTTCATGTCCTGGATTAGCTGATTGTCCCGGGCCTCCCGGCCATGTAATGGGATTTCTCTTGTGCTGACATGAGAGGAGGTTGTGGAAGTCATTCTGTGTCTCAGATTCTCTACCATACTGCGGAAAAACTGACCTGCATGAATCTGTACAAGCCTGCCATTCTCACGCAGGGCAACGCCCTTGAAGGACTTCTCAGCTAGAGCTGTATGAACTGTAGTCATGTGTGGGCCAGGCATGGTGACCATGGATTCAAAAACTCGTATTTCTCGAGTTAAGAGCCTATCTGCTGTAGGCAGTGTCATCTCTCTTTTTTGGAGTTGCCGAGAGAGGTCGCTGAGCTCTGTGAGCGCATCGTACATCAGTCCCAGATTGCTGACAAACGTTGCAGATGTGAGCACATCATCCAGGCCCTTGTACTTTGCTCTGTCTCTGGAATCCCTGTTCGTGTCGTTTGCAGCATTTGTGAAGTGATCATGAAGCACTCGGTAGTTTTCCCAGACTGCTCTGACGCTCCTTTCACTTGAAGCCACCCAGCGGATGGACAAAACACGCCCTATCACCAGGAGACGCTGTCCGACTGCTTGCGCACACTGCGCTAACTGCCTCTGATTTTTGGGGGAGGCATGGAACAAGGAATAGAGTTTGTCAAAAAAGATCTGGAAATGATTGAGCCCTGAGACCTCCTTGACCACATCCCCAACTGCCAGCTCTAGACGATGATTGGAGCAGTGCCACACAAACAGGCTTGGGAATTTACTACACAACTGGGTAGCAACGCCTGTTCTCTTCCCTAGCATGACTGAAGCCCCATCACATGCAAAAGAAACGAAACACTGACCTAAAAAGTCCTCGTTAAACTCTCTTCCAAGACCACTCCATTAACGCCTTTGTGATGTCATCAGCCGTTGTTCCATCCAACTCGATCAGCTCCCAAAAAAACGTTTCGGGCTCAGCATCAGCTAATGCTGAGCGTAGACACACAACAAGCACCGTTTTACCACTAATAGTGGTAGATTCATCGACCAAAACACAGAGTTTTCTTTGGTTTTCTGTAATGTCTTTTGCCATTTTTTTCTTCAGCTCATGAGCTATGTGGTCGATGATTTCGCCACAGGTTTTATTGGAGTGCAAAACCCTGCCCACGTTCAGCCCATTCAGTTTCTGTACATTCAAATCAATTGGCATGTCTGTGAATGGCCGGCTATGTTTGCCAATTGTATATGCCGTTCGAAAAACTCTGATAGTGGTGTCTAATTCAGATTTATGCATAGACTGCACTTGATGTTGAATAGTTTCACGTGAAGCAGATGTAAGGATGTCAGCAGCTTTTACATGGGCTTGTGATTCTTTATGTTCTTTGATTTTTCTTCTCAGGCTAGCTTGTTGTTTGCCCTTGTCAACACCGAAATGAGACACTGCACACTCACCCCATTCAGTTGACAGTTTCAGTCCTTGTCCAGTGTGTATTCCCAAAGATTTGACATCTCTGCATATCCGACATCCTAGCTTCTTATCTTTAAGAAGGAGCCATGCATTGGTCTTGCAAAAATATTGCACCTGGTCCGTTGTCCAGCAGTCAGGTGCATCGCTTTGCCCGGTGTTGGTGGTGGCAGTTGCGCCAGCAGCAGCTAACGTTAGAGGCGCTGGAGGAGGCGGCGGAGCTAGTGCTAATGCTAATGCACTAGAACTTGGAGCAGGAGGATCAACCAAAGAAAGCTCCCCATCAGACACAATTTCCAACACAGGCACAGCATTCTCTGTATTTGAAGTTTCTTCCGGCGACAACCGCTGTCTTTTTGCACTTTTATTAATCCACGCTAACATTTTAGAAATGCTAATTTGTGACGTGACTTGCTTTCCTTCTCTCGGGGGCGTGCCTGCTCTGTTCTATCACTCTACATAGCACCCACTGGGTGGGAGTTGCACTGCATAAACACAACACACGTGCATCTAGGTATGTAAATTGTAAAGCATTAAAACATGGTTTTACTAACAGTTTTCAGTATGTTGTTACTTCGGCATTATTATTATTATTATTATTATTATTTTGAAACGTGTATTACTATTAAATCACGGTCAAATAGGTTAATTTTGACATAGTCGTTTCCACCACAGTATTTACATGGAGAAGATAAGCCCCGCCCCCTCTCCAGCACGTTCTGTTTGAATGACAGGAGTAAACAGCTGACAGCCGCTGTGAAACTCCAGCGGTTAGAGCGATGAGAATGTCCGTTCGGCACCTCATGACGCATCTACTGAGTACCGGGCGGCTGTATATATATATATGGATGTATAATAAGAACGGCGGGAGAGGGGAGAGTGTTGAGTACTGGCACGGTGCATGAGTACCGGAGTACCGCCAGCATGCCGGTACTGAGCAAGAAGTGCCGGTACTCCATGGGTCAGAACCAGAAGTGCCGGTACTGCGTACCGGTGAGTACCGGCCCAATTCCAGCACTGAATATACAGGTTATATACTGTAGCACAATGTGCACAACGTTTAGGGGAAGTAACCACTGCATGTATATTTTGTAATAAAAATAGATATATTGCAGTTCAATGTGCATATTTTTATTTAACTATAATTTAATGTTTATATACATATTTGTATTCTATTTGATCTTATTTGTATTGAACATTTGACTCAGCTTTTTTGCAAGTTACTTCCTATGTTTATATAAACAATATTTTAACTTTATTTATTTATTTTTATTTATCTTTTATTTTTACTTCATTGTAATAAATAAAGTGTTCTGATTAGGTTCAGTTTCAGACAATTGAACTAAGTTTGATATTTCAGTAGTAACCACTGTATGTATATTGTAATATACATGTTTTATATTGCAGTTCAATGTTCATATTTATATTTAACTTTAAATAAATATTTTATAATATTTTATTTTTTATAGGACATTTTACCTACATTTTTTTATGATTATATTATTATTTTAGCTTTTTATTACATATTCATACTTCAGCATCTTGTGTTTATATCAATATTTGTATTTTGTTTTTACTGGACATTTAAACTTTACTTCTTATGTTTATATAATAGTCTATCTTATTTTATGTTATTTTTTTATTGGAAATGTACTTCCTATGTTTATATCATTATTTTAGTTTTATCTAATGTCATTCTAAAAATAATACAATTATAGATTATTATTGATATAATATCAGCATAATGCAAAGCCACATAACTACACGAGTGAGTGAGAAATATAATTGTATTTAACTTGAAAATGTGGCTCTTAAAGGTGGGGTAGGTAATTTAGGAGAAATCAGCTCGAGTGCGCTAGAATTTGAAAATACACAACCGGAAGAAATCCACTACTTCCTTACAGAGCCCCTTCTATGGAGTCAGATTTGGGTCAATATTCTCGCGCGTAAAACAAGCTACTCACGAGCGGAAAATGTGCTTTTACACGCGCATAAAATGACCCTCGCGCGCAGATTAAACCCCCGCGAGCGGCTCTGCGCTCGCTCGCGAGAGAGACAGCCCTCTTGCTTGCTCGCGGGAGTGTCAGCCTCGCGGAGTCTGTCTATGTGCGCGTGAAAAGTTTCTGGCACTTTGGGGCGGAGCCACTGGACTTTGATTGACAGCTACCAGGAAACCCGGGGTTGCCAGGTTTGATAAATGCCTGAACTGCCAAGAGCCGAGCAGTGACGGCAGCAAAATCAGTTGGACGAGATTGAATGGTAAAGTTGTCCATAAAAAACTATTATATTCGTAAAGTGTACAGCTAATATATATATATATATATATATATATATATATATATATATATATATATATGATTCTGTTTTCTTCAAGGTTGTGTCTTCCTGGTCGAATGTACTTATTGTAAGTCGCTTTGGATACAAGCGTCAGCTAAATGCAATGTAATGTAATGTAATATACATTAATTTGATATAAAACAATATATTTTTCAGTGGGCTGTGTCCGTCGAAAACGGCTAGCTACTGTCTGCTGTACGCACCTAGATTTTGCTGCCGTCACTGCTCGGCTCTTGGTAGTTCAGGCATTTATCACACCTGGCAACCCCGGGTTTCCTGGTAGCTGTCAATCAAAGTCCAGTGGCTCCGCCCCAAAGTGCCAGAAACTTTTCACGCGCGCGTAGACAGACTCCGCGAGGCTTACACTCCCGCGAGCAAGCAAGAGGGCTGTCTCTTTATGGGTCATTTTATGCACGTGTAAAAGCACATTTTCCGCTCGTGAGTAGCTTGTTTTACGCGCTAGAATATTGACCCAAATCTGACTCCATACCCTCCTCCAACACACACGAACACGCACATGACCAATGAGGGCACGAGATACGTTTGTGCACAGATGGAAAGCTGACAGGCAGGTAGGCCATCCAGTTACTTTAGCCGGCTCAGATGATTGGTCGTGCTTTTTACAGCGCCACGGCTTCCACAGATGAAATATTTGTATGGATTTTTTGTCAAAGCATTTAATGTATTCATTGCTATCGGGATGTTAAGAGCATTCCATGGAATATAACAAAAAGTGTATCTCGAGCCGGTTTCTCAAACTTACCTTTAACATGTTCTGTTTCAGTGAATAAAGAGAGAAAGGATCACTTCTCCCCAAAAATGGCACAAAGGACGTTTCCTGAAAGTGGACAAGATGGACGCTCAGGTGAGAGACAGGAAGAGACTCTTTGAATGTATCGTACATTTAGATGTTCACTATTTATTATGGTGCAATGGCCGCTAGCACTGAGCATACCAAATGTATACATTCATTATTTGAGTTGAATCAAAAATAAGAGTACTTCATTTATCCCGGGGGAAATTGGCTTTCATGACAGTTTCATTTCACAGATCAATTTAAAATGTAATTGAAAAAATACGTTATACAAATATTATATAAGTCAATGTGTGTATATACAATTTAAAAAATGTATTATATAGCATTTATTTGCACAGTTTAAAAGGTTCTTCAAAGGTCTTCACAAGTTTGACGACAGCCCGTTTTGTTTGTGTGACTAAAACAGAGCTGAAAAAACCCCACAATGTTTAACCATGAATAATTCTAAACTAGATAAACAGAAATGTAGGCTACAAAAGTTATTTGTATTCAACTCTCTTCTCCTCTTGCGTATAATGACCTCTTTATTTAAAGTCACTCTGCCCCAGGGTACGACTTAACATCGGTGCACTGCAGACGTAACAGACTCAGAAAATGCTATATTTACTCACTTTGTTATTTCTGTTTGTTCATTTGTTTTGCCCGCTGGAGTAAAAAGCTTACCGTGTTTGTCTTTTTGTGTCTATATACTTTCTATTGTGCCGGATCATATATATTGGAACCTTCTGCTGTCAGGTTACATTTCAACAGAAAGATAAAACAATCTAATAAATTAATATCACAGATTTTAAGCACCTTTTATTGACAAGGGTACTACAGTATTTGACACTTCTAAATATCAAACTTCTCATTTATTACTTATTTTTTCCACATTTGTACCAACTAGTTGTAATGATTTTATTAAAAGGTTTGACTTTACAATTATTTTTGCATTATTATTGTTTTTATTATTTTATTTTTATTAGTATTATTGTATATTTATCATTATTGTTTTTATTTCTTTCACCCTCATTTTCTTGTGTTTTAATTTCATTCTAAAATGGGGATCACAAAACCTAATTTCCCCCACCTCGGACAAATAAAGTAATCTGATTCAGATTATTATTATATATTTATACCATTTATATATTCTATTTTTAAGATAAGATAAGATGGACCTTTTATTAATCTAAAATAATAGTTTAACAGCAACAGGGTAAGGATGAAAAACAGGAGAGCACAGATTAATAAAATCAAAGATTCAAATGTATAAATGATAAAATAACTATAATTTAATTCCACTTCCATCTCTTGTGTTTTCAGTCCTGGGGATGTTGTCAGTGCAGGTGGAGAGAGACCCTAAGACCGGGGCCACCGTTATTCGCTCCGTGGCCCCCCTGTCCTCGCCGTCCGGAGCGACCACCACCGTGTTCGACGACGGCAGGAAGAGCATCCACGCTGTCGGAGGATCGGGAAACCAACCCCTCGTCCGAAGAGCTCGGGCAGATCTTGAGTATCGTGGACGGAGTTGGGATGAGAGTCCTGCTGGACGAAGTCACGGTCACGCCAGAGGAGGTAAAGATGAAGACTGAAGACGCTAACAAAGCTCCGAAGGGAAAATTATTGTCTGTTTTTAGCCGTCAAAACGAGGAAGAGACGCCGCAAGACACCTCGAGAAGCTACGAGTTTGATCTGAAGACACAGGAATGTTCTGGAAACAAAGAAGTGGACAGAAGCAACACGTTTGATCTGAAGACACAGGAATGTTCTGGAAACAAAGACGTGGACAGAAGCAACACGTTTGATCTGAAGACACAGGAATGTTCTGGAAACAAAGAAGTGGACAGAAGCAACATGGCGGTACGAGACATTCCCGGAGAAGTCGATAACGTGGAGGATCTGAATCTAGAAGAAGGCCCGGTTACTTTGGTGTTTATGGGATACTCTGACCAAAGCCAAGAGGAAGACGAAGGTCCGATCACCGTGGAGCGAGTGATGATCAACGAGGAAGGGGAAGAAACCGTCTTAGGACCCCAAACGCCCCGAAAAGAGTCCAAAGAGTTTCAGGACATTCCCCTGGATGGAAACGGAGCGAAAGTCCAAGGAGAGGAAGCCGATGAGGGGCTGCATAATTCATCTTCCCCCAATGTAGCAGAAGGTGGAGGCACTCCCAAGCGTAAGAGCTGTCAGTGCTGCTCCGTCATGTGAGGGGGGATGATGGAAGAGAGAGACTCACCTCATCAGCCTTAATCGTATCATTTGTCATAATCGTGACTTCCATTACACACTACATGCTGCCTAAATGACTGATCTGAGAGAGCAGACCACCACCTGGTGTAGTCTGACAATGGTTTGGGCTCTGAGCACCCATCACTTTACTTCACTTTGCCAAAGAAAGACATGTATCATGTTGTAGCAGCTCTGAGAGACTTTTTAAATCCACTTCCTCCCTCTGGTGGACAAACCTGAGAACTTCAACATGACATTTTCTCATTTAAATATCTCTGGGACTTGTTGGTGCCGAATTATCAGCTAAAATATAACATATTTGCTCTATAAATGAAAACAAATGCTTTTTTGCTGTAAACATGGTGTGGTTCAATGTGTATACTTTGACATGTATTTGCAAATGAGAAACATTGGTAATATATTCAGATTCTTTTTGAAATTGTACCTTTTTCTTACCCAGTACTCCGGGCTACAGCTTCCACATAGGGCACGAACAATGTTTCTAAAGTGTGTTGTTTTTAAAAATCCTAAGGAGGGAATTGCATAATCATTTCACACTGTTGTTGTGGATGTATTGTGTAAAAATCTTGCTAAAAGGTAATATTTTTGGGACTAAATACTAGTTTTCTTTGGGAAAATAACACTCACACAAAAGTAAAACCTTTTCCCAGAAGGTACTGCATTTTTTAATTAGACTATTTTAGACTTCAAAGATTGTAATAATCAGATTTGTTATTTTTCAATCAAATTTGCCAAATGTAAGAAGATGTTTTCTTAAAGACTTTGTGTCCTGGTCATTGCCGGTGTGGGCACTGGAGGAGACTCATCCCCATTTCACAACTCTTGTCTACATGTCTACTTGTCTTTACTTTAAGTTTTCATTTCCTCAGGTACTTGCTTAGGTACACATTTAAGGTACTTTTACTTTTGTATGCATTTCTTACTTCCACTCCACTACATATCATACGTACATCTTCTTAATAACGCATTTTGAAAGTGTCCACAGCAGCCATTATCCCATCTGTTCCCAAATATTGGATAATTAAATGATGTAACTTGTTATGTTCAAAATTCCAGGAAAGACACACGACTTCTAAGTTTAACTATTTATTATGAGAGAGCAAAATACAAATATTCACTTGGCCAAGGACTCCGTCACGTCATAGAAATCACAGACAGCAAAGACTTGGCTCTCTTTGGTAGGTGCGCAGACTTTAAAAAAAGTCTCTTGGCAACATGATCCTCCAATCAGCATTCGGCCGGCCTGTGGAAGTCCCTCCCTACTCTGGCACCATCATCGTACATCATTTGTTTTCGCTGACGTTTCTACAGAAAAAGTGGAATCTTCAGCGGAGCTCACCCAAACTCAAGGCCGGAGTGATGTCCTGTTTAAGGATAATTCTTTGTATTCTTCCAGTGTCTGCACCTGACCTTGCTACATTAGTATTGCAAGCTGACAACTTTATTCTGACTATTCCCTTTGTTGGTATCTAACCCATCAGAACCTGGGATTAGTGATTGTGTCAATTTATTTTATATAGGTTGGTGACTTCGTCCTTGAGGTTGACGGCTGCTCCATCTCCCCATCTCCTGAAGCCCGCAACCTGGGTGTCATCCTCGACTCCACCCTTTCCTTCCATTCCCACGTCAAATCTGTGACCAAATCGGCCTTTTATCACCTGAGGAACATTGCCAGACTCCGACCGTCACTCTCGGAGTCGGTTGCCGAAACCCTAGTCCATGCATTTGTCACCACCCGCTTGGACTACTGCAATGGTGTCCTGTTCGGGGTTCCCAACAAAACCCCGGACAGGCTCCAGTATGTCCAAAACTGTGCTGCTAGGGTACTCACGCACACAAAACCGTGGCAGCACATCACTCCCACCCTCATCCACCTACACTGGTTGCCGGTCAAGTCCCGCATATCCTACAAAATCCTCCTCCTTACCTACAAATCCCTCCATGCCCTTGCCCCCCAGTACCTATCGGACATCCTTCACCCACATGCCCCACCCCGGAACCTGCGGTCCTCAGACTCTGGCCTGCTTACCACCCCCCGCACCAAACTGCGAACCTTCGGGGACAGAGCCTTCAGTGTGGCAGCCCCCACCCTCTGGAACGCTCTCCCTGCGGAGATACGCAACATCCCCACACTTGAAGCCTTCAAAAGGGCCCTCAAGTCCCATCTGTTTGCCAAGGCTTTCGGCCCCTAAATCGATCTGTTGTTCTGTTTGTCTGTCTTTTGTTTTGTTATGTTTGTCTTTGCACTATTACTTGTGAAGCGACCTTGGGTCCCCTGAAAGGCGCTATAGAAATCGAAGCTATTATTATTATTTATTATTATAGTCATAGCCATCTCATGAGCACAATAAGCATATCATGTAATAATAAGAACCCCTCTTGTAATGTTATATACAAATAGACTCCACAAACTGCATGTACAATGCCACCAGAGTATTTAAACAGCATTTTAAATAATCTATAAAAACCTTTATAACAACAGCGTAGAAAATGTTCCTTGAAAGGATGATGGAATATACAGGTTAAGCTTATTAAGGCGCATTAATATGTTCTGTTTGTACAGTGTGCTGCTGCTGCTGGTGGTAATCCTGTGTGCTGGCATTACGCTCCTGAATACAGGTGTACATATAAAGTCATTGATTTAAAGCTGCAGCTCAGGGAAGAGGATGACACCAGGATAACATTTATATCAAGGAGAAAACATCTTAACAAAGTACTCATTGAAACTGCATGGCGTACACATTGCATTTAGCTGATGCTTTGATCCAAAGCGACATACATACGGCATTTGTTATTATTATTATCCAGATTTCATTGGAAGAATAACGTTGCTTTTATGTGAAAGTAGCCCCAGTGATGCTAACATCTGGGTGTGCCTGCAAAAATACGCCATTACTGCACCACTTTATAACTCCGGGATAAATAAAGTATTCTGATTCTGAGCGTGTAGGTCTGAAATGGGAGAAAGAGAATTGAAAAGTAGACAAAGCTTCAGTCACACAGAGAGAAATGAAGGAAGGCATTGATCCATGGCTGTGCAATTGTGCATGAATGTGAGAGTTTTGTGCCGGGTTGATGTGAGGTCATGGTTCAGTCCCCTGACATCATGCTGAGGACGCTGACAGGACACCTCTGTGACAGGAATATGTCTGAGGTTAAAGATAGGACAAAAAATACAGGATCTTCTTTTAGCTTTTACTGACCATTAGTCCTGGTGAATTACTGGATTTCTACCACTAACTCAAGACCGGAGCATTCTGATATTACATTACATTTAGCTGACGCTTTTATCCAAAGCGACTTACAATAAGTGCATTCGACCAAGAAGATACAAACTTGAAGAAAACAGAATCATAAGTACATCAGGTTTCATAGAGCCAAAACATTTCAAGTGCTACTCAACTGGCTTTAGATAAGCCAGTCCTTTATTAGTAAATAAGTGCTTTGTTAATAGTTCTATCGCTCGAAGTGGAGTCGAAAGAGATGAGTTTTCAGTCTGCGCCGGAAGGTGTGTAAGCTTTCTGCTCTCCTGATTTCAATGGGGAGCTCATTCCACCATTTTGGAGCCAGGATAGCAAACCCATGTGTTTTTGCTGATGGGAACTTGGGTCCCCCTCGCAGTGCGGGTGCAGCGAGCCGTACACATATTAATAATAATAAAGCTTTATTTATGTATCACTTTTCATACAGCAAGTGCAGTCGCGTTACAAAATGGCGACACATCACAAGTTACAAATAAACAACAAGAAATTCCCCTCAGATCAGATGTTAAGACCTAGCAACAAAATATAACATTTTAACAGGTTAAGAGACACACGGAGGTAAAATAATTAAAATGAAATAAATAATGATTCCTCTCAGAAAGACTAAGTGAATCGATGCAACAATATGAAACCCTATAAAATTAAGTAAACATATAGGTAAAAGAAAAAGATAATAGGCTATAAATAAAAACGTCATCATTCTAATAAATGTTAAACGATTAAAATATTAAAAGATCAACGTAATAGGAAATAAAACAACATAATAAAGACTAAAAGACCATTTAAAGGGGGAGGTTGCTAATAAAAAGCTAATCTAAAAAGATGTGTCTTTATAGCTGTCGTTTGGGGAGGAAAACTTGTTTCATGGATGATCACAGACAAAGTCTCCGTGGCTCATGGATAACAGGAAGTAACCCCGATGAGGAAAGGTCGATTATACATAAAGCATAATTGTCAACAGTGGTGAGATGATCAGAGTCTTTGTACGCCGTGTGCCTGCCAATACAGACGGAGGAAAGCCGATTACTCGTTCCTTTTGTCAGCAGAATTGGGCGTGCTAGGTCACCGTGGGGGAGAAAAGTCCCCACAACAACACGGAGGCTTTATGCAGCGCTGAAAAAAAATATCGTGATCATTGCAGGCAGACAAATGTGGAATCTGGATGACAGAACAATAAAGCCAAGAGAGAAATATGTACCTTTTTGATCCGTATGAAGGTGAAGTAGCAAGACTGGACAAACAGTTCAAGACAGGCACAACTGACATGAGAAGAGCCCTAAGCTTGTAATGTGTTTGTTTTATTTTCCTTCAAATAAAGAAAAAAGCTTTGTTAATTCATCCTAAAGGCTGAACAAACCTGCTTGCATTTCCTTCCTCAGAATCATTTGCAAGCAGGGTTTTATTAGTTTTATTTGGAAACTTGAATTGTTTAAAATCACATTCACTTTTTGAAATCTTACCGCTTCTCAAGGAATGAAATTGTTACCGGCCACATACCAAATAACAGGTAAATGTTGCTTGTAGCAGATAAACATTTTAGGCCACCTGCCGGATTATTTTTTAATGCATTAGGGTAACCATCCGTATTTATACCACCTGACTCAGTGTTTACCATTCTGATTGGCCAGTCAAATGTTCATGTTTATTAGCGGCTTGGTTTTTTGCAGCTTTCTCAGGAAATGTACTAAAACTGTACAAGTAACCTCTACTGTTATCTAGACTAGACATACATATGATCCTAAATTTAAAACAAAATGTATGATATTACATTTAAGTTGTTTATACAATGAACTACAAAATGTATGGAGCTATTTGTCCACAGTGAGTGGCATGAGGAACACAAACAGCATTACATATGTTCAGAAGGGCAGTTGATTAATCTGGGTGGATGCAGACTCACTGTTGGAGGTTTTGGGATCTTTCAGTCAGGTTTAAGGGCATAATTGGAATTGGGCCGCTGTCTTCATGCCACCTCCTCCATCCTACATGGCACCTTATTTGCCTGCAGAGGGCAGCAAGGCTATTAAGCTGAATAATTCCAGTGTGACCCTTACAAATGGGCCATCTGACGCCACAGAGCCTAGAGATAATCCCAGTGGCTTAGACTGGCACCCTGCTGAGAGGCCGTTAATGGCAGCAGTGAATCAGGTGGATGAAGTGATAGAAAGTGCAGCGCAGACTTCTAAGGAGTCTACGGACAGCGTTTCACGGTCCAAATACAAGACAGAACATTGATGGAGGAGACATGTTATGATTCACTCAGAAGACACTGTCAGGATAGCACAGGGGACGAAGAATCAAATGAAGAACCTGAGGATATTTCAACTTTGATTGAGGGCCAGAAAAAGTGGAGGGAAGCTGAAGCAGGAAAAGATAAATATCCTGAAGATGTGACACATCTTGACAAAGAGGGAGAAGATGAAAAATCAAAGGACATTGAGTCCAAACTAAACACAACAAATATTGATGATGTGGAGACAAAAGCCCCGACACTGTCTTGTCTGAGTGATGATTATTTCGAGTCCTGCCATAACAAGATGGAAGCATCAATGTACGATCAGCCACAGGTATCAACGATCCCGAGAGAGATGTTTATTGATGATGAAGAGGATGTTGACGACTATATCTTCAGAAAACACAACTGCTTGAAGAGAGATAGTGGCACCAGCCAAACACAAGGGTCCCTGGACTCTGAAGACTATGAAGAGATTGTGACAAAGAAAGATGGGAGTGTAAGAATAGCTACTGAAATCCAACAAGGAGAGCAACTGCTTCAACGTCTGCAACAGGTGCAGCTGCGACAAGACGTATGTACACCAGAGAGTCCTTGTACCTCCAAGACGGTTGTCCAAGAGACTGGAGGTGAGACAGAGGGTGAGCTTGGGGATGAAGAAGATTATATGAAGGCAAGAGAAGACGATCTGCCAGGTGGAGTTGAGACAAAAGAGAATAGATTTGACCCTGTAGAGCATCAGGGTGCCAAGATGATGAAGAAGCAAATAAATGAGAGTAAATATGTAAAAGCAGGGATGTCCTCGTACACAATGGTTGTAGAGTATAACGCAAATTCAGGAGACTCCGATGATGACCCAAGTTACAGCTGCGTACATGAAGACAAATCTCCGATCGACCCCATTGAAACTTCTACCGAAATTCCATTCCTATCTCCCTGCCACCGACTCTCCGTTGACGAGCCCTTGTTGGAGAGGCAGATCTTCGAGGAAGCAAAGGAGAAGCAGAACCTGCAGAGATCTGGTGGCCTCTTATATCTCACGGATAATCCAGATGTGCTAGAGTTTCCCTTTAAGACCAATATCTTGCTGGAGCCATTTGAGCCGACAAAGGATGGCCCGGACCAGCAGCGCAGCGACTGGCAGTTCTCCGAGCAGAAGATGAAAAAGGAGATAAGTCAGGAGTTTCAGAGGGAGCTGGTGCTGGTCAACCAGGGGAAGATCCCAGGTGGGTACAGCAAGGAGGAAACCCGCCAGTTAAAGGAGACAAAGCTGCTGTTTGAGGCTTTCCAACATGACAACACAGAGGGTCCGAGAAAACACCGGAAACCACCTACTTCGCCGACGAAAGGTCACGTCTACCCTTCTGTGCTAGAGCGCACACGAAGCATGAGGTTGCTGTCACTGAATAGCTGCCCTGTTTCCAGATCACTTTCCCTCAGACTGCTTCAAGACATTGAGAAAAGTCCTGACATCTCCAGATCGCTGAGTTCAACAGGTGGTTCTCTAGACAAAAAATGCTTTTGGTCTTTCACAAAACAAGACCTGAAGGCAAGCCAGTACAGATCGATGGACTCCATAAACAAAGATGTCTTCACATGCGATGTAGGTGCTAGGAGTAAAACTCTGGATGGAAACACAAAACAAGAATCTCCAATCCTTAAACATAACCCTTTCTTCAAGTTGCGTCCAGCTCTCGCTCTGAAGCCAGAAGTATTGAAAGAAATCCGGGAAGCCAAAGAAAGAGAGGAAGAGCTGCGCAGACAGAGATGCACTTTGTACGGAGAAAACGGGAAAAGTAATAAAGACGAAGAAAAATCACGATTTGAAACAATGCTCGCACCAGGTAAGTCTGCATGGTCTCTGTCATACAAGGGTAGAATTGTACTGCATTCGAGTACAATTATGAGGTACTTACACTCGAGTATTTCCATTTTATGTCACTTTACATTTTTCATGGGGGCAATCATGGCACAATCCAGTAGAATAAATAATATACTTCTCAAATGGTTACTTTGACTAATTTATCAAAAATATAAGTACTTTTGTTCCTCCCGATTCCCCTGTACTTTTAACAAAGTATTTTATAAATGCATGACTTTAATTTCTACTTTTTCCATGACTTTGTTTCTTATTTTACTTTAGTTTCTGCTGATTTCTTCCATCTCAAATGATAAGTATTCTGTGTGCGACTGCATGCACCATAGAGGTTAATTTGCACATTAATTAAACAATCTCCAAAGTTATTATACATTTCAGTGACAATCTGTTCATTTGGATAAACATTACTGACGATGCTTAGAGAAAAATAAATGGAAAGTAATAAAAGATTCATGGGTAATTTCCATCAGACTGCTAGGAGGCATGACTATGTCTGATAAGAGTCATTTAGATCTTTATTCATTCCACATCCCGGCCTTCTGACACTCAGTCTGAGCACTTTAATGAATGCCTCTCTACATTAGCATCACATAGTGTTATCTAAGCAGTCTTATCGACAACTTAGTGTCAACCCTGTCACAAGCGGTTACGGGCGAATCACTCCAACAGCCGTCTGATCTGAGTCAGCAAATGCCAGTGGGCTGAGTGACAACATGAAGGCGACTATCTGCACCTCAGCTTGAGCCTAAGGGCAGATATGGTCCCGTTATAGTGTTGTGTAAATACCAATGACTTCAGACATTTGATAGGTCTTGTTGAAAGTATGTATGGTTTGTGTGAATGTATTTTGTTGACGTCTGATGTTGTTTCCTATATGCATAGCAGCAGAGCTTCGGGCCGCGACAAAACAGTGCAGCCAGCCAAGGAGTGTGTCATTATGTAGCACCATGTTACTATTTTCATGGTAATGATGTGTGGGGTTGAGTCGAGGTGAAGAAGATTCGCTACGTGGTGTGACAACATGATAATATGTCTGGGGTAAAACTGGGATAAACTGGAGGAAATTACTCGTTCTAAAGGTTGAATAAGCTGTAGTGTGTTACCCTAACCAGTCATGACACAAAACTGTATGATAATGTGTCACCCAGACACTGTGATATATTCACAGAGGACAGTTTTGACACTTCAATGAAGATATAACCTTCATAGGTTAAAATATACAGTGAATAATGTTTAATCTTGTCCCATCAAAGCCTTTTAACTGTCAAAACAGAATCTGATTTAGCATGCTAAGAGTGCGAACCTAAAATATTTAAATTGAGGCTGAACTTGGCCCCCGCCACTGCTGTTGATATTCCTGTCAAGTTCTCTTTTTGCTTCCTGTTTTTCAATGATTATAGGGCAAGTGTTGAATCCTAGACTATATATATAAGTAGGAGTTAACAAAAAAGGTTTTTCTAGTCGGCATTCAGCGATTTTGTCTGGTAAAATGTCAACCGTAGTTAGTTAGTTGGCTAATTGAGCTAACGTTAGCTAAATAATTTTCTCTGTCTGACTTTTTATTGTTGTTTATCGTGCTAAAAGACTTGCTAACATGCAAAGTCTTGCATTTCAAACTATTTTACCAGTTATTTGTTGATGTGCCTGTAGTTGTAGAGATATTGTTTGGCTTAGTATTACAAGTTTGATGCTAATTACAGGTGAAATGCTTTTTCAACACAACATAAGATGAGACCTTTAGGCTACATCTTTTCAACATAAGCCTGTTTAGCTGCTTATCCTACTAGCAAGCTGTCAGAGGTTGTTTTAGTTTACAAGGATTTAAGATGAGGACTAACCTTGTGTTTTGACAATGTAATCCATCTCAGAGGATGAGTATAGCTCAGTATTCTGGAGCGTAAACGTTCCCAAATCCAATAGAGCAGGGCAACACAGTAAGCACCAGTAAGCTAGTTAGCCGGATATGCTAACGTTGCTGTTTACGTTAGAGCATACAGACCAAAAAGGATTAACCTGGTTACATTTATGAAATCCTGAATGGTTCAATGGAAAACTGTAATATATCCTGCTTATTTTCTATCTTTTGGTTCTTTAGTTATCAGGAAACAGTCCAGTCGGAAACTGGAACGAGTTTGGCCGCCGCCGTCCAAGAAATCTGAACAGGTGAAGTGACATAAACAAATATTTTTATGTAATCTTCTTTCTTGTTTTCTTCGTCATTCCGTCAAATCTGCATGTGTTTAATGTACACCAACCACTGGCAAGAAAACAGTGTGACATGATGTAATGTTGTCATTAATTCAGGGTCACACTACAGCAGGGGTTCTCAAAGTTTTGATGAGTGAGGGCCAATTTAGGTACCCAATATTGGATTGAGGGCCGCCCAAGAAAAAACGGAACACAAAATAATTCCAAAACAAATCCTTTCTTTATTGTACTAACCAATTACCGCAACTCGCGAGATGCCTAGTTGCCATGCAACCAGTACTCTAGCAAACTTTCCACAAGCTGTCATTCATAATTTAGGAATGACAACCCAGAGGGCGCAGTTTTACCATTCTTAAATTCCATTCTAATTCTTACTAGATACAACCATGGAGGATTAAAATATAACGCATGCATTTCAGCATGTCACATTAACTATCGCGGGCCGCCAGAAACATTTCCGAGGGCCGCCATTGGCCCGCGGGCCACACTTTGAGAACCCCTGCACTACAGGATGGATTATCCTTAGAAAACACTATAAGTATAGGACTACAAAAGCTGAAGTTATCTCACGATAGAAAGTCAGGTTTCATTTAATTTCCAATGTGTTATTCTAGGATCATGAGGTATTTAATCTGAATACAAGATGACATTAGATTGGAAGTATTCCCAAAATGCTTTTTGTTTTACAAATGCCTGGATTACTATAAGTGGTTCTGAAATGTATCTCAAATTCAGAGGATCAAGAAAAAGGGAGCTAATCTCCGACTCTAAATCCTGCTCTGTTTTATCTCCCAGCAGGAGGCAAAAGTTCAAAGAGCAGGAGGTCAGAAAACTCTGTGGCAACGCTGGGAGGCCGGCCTGATCAACGGGAAGCCGTCAAAGGAAAATAACTGACAACCTGATGTCTTCGAGTCTACAAATATCAAAATAAATCATATATAATCATGTCAATAAGCTACGATGCTAGAGCTGCATATGTGCAAGATTAATCAGCATTTTCAGAATCATGAAGGTAGTTTCAGTTTCTGGCTCTTCTTACTCTGCTTTGTATCTGTGTCAAAATACTTTTTGTGATTTATTTAAACACTGTTAATCAGCATGTAAATAAAGATTAAGTATCATTCTCCATCATGTTTATGTTTATGTAAATGATACATGTCTATTAACTGTAGTCATACTGTTTATGGGAAGACACATCTCCACTTACAGTTGGCTACAGACTCACGTTTCTTTCTCCACAAGATCTAAATGCACATTTCAACTGTATTTCTTTCTTTGGATTAATAATAAATTAAAAGGATGGACTATAGTGAAAAATTGGGTTCCAATTTTTTCACATTTGTTCAACATTTTGACGTTTCTTTTCACAAATGTTCCCTTTCTGGCGGTTCATTAACGCACGTTTTTTCATGTGTGGGTGCAGATTGCCTCTCATCTGTCAGGCAGGTGCAGGTATTAAAAAGCCATTACTACTACTCAGCCTGTACAAACAGTTGTATAACAGCCTCTTTGGTTGTGAAAGGGGCTCTTTAAAGTCTGGAAATAAAACCCAAATGAATGAACCAACGATTGTTGGATATATAAAATCATTACATTTAATGACCGATCATGAGTTGATTCTAAATACAATTGACAATAAAAAAGCCTGATAACTAATACATTGTGTCATGGCCTGTGATCTAAGATTTTCATTGTCATAACTACACTGTAGCTATGTACAAATGACAATAAAAGCCTTGAAACAAAAAGTCAGTGGTAAATGAAGCCATTATAAGAAGTGCAGGAAACTTAAATTGACCTGTGATCACATTTACTAGAGAGAGCTTGGTTTCTAATCTCCGCAGTTTAGCCGGTGTAAGTACCATCTGTCAGGCAGAGTGACTCTGCCAACAGAGGAAGGACTTTCACTCTCACTTCCTGGCTCGGGCATCCCAGTGTCATTTGGCCACAGTTCCCACCAACCCTTTAGAGAAGAACAAACCGTACAGTGTGTGATGTTGGAGAAAACCAGCAACAGTCCTCCTATAGAGAGGTGCAGGGATGACGTATTTCTCTTTCAATATTCTTTATTTTATTTTCAGGTGAGACAATACAAGAAACATTAGGGACAACACAACAAAACATAATAAAACCCACAAAACAATAACAACAAACAACGACAAAAACAGACAAACAGCAACCTAGTACTCACTCACACTTATCATGTTATATTTACGCCCACAGTTATAACCCTTGACCATTCTTCTTTCATGTACGGGGCAATTTGGGACCAGTCTCTAACAAATTCATCCAGAGTTCCTCGCAGCACGTGTGACAGCCGCTCCAATGGCAGGATTGACATCAGTTTTTGAAACCATAACAAAAGATGATGACGTATTTGTAGGCGACCTGGAAGATAGCATTGCAAGGGATCCCTCGACAAAAAGCAATGGGTTTTAATCATGTAAGATACAGGGGTTATTCATTGCTTATTGGGCCCATTTAGGCTGTGAGGTATTGGTTGTCTTACAATCAGAGGTTGGGGGTTTAGTCAGTCACCAGGATGTGTGTAATTTATTTGAGCAAATAGCACCTTTTATGTAGCCCCTGTATGAATGGTTCAATGCTGACTTGTACAGTAAAGCACTTAAAGACTGGAAAAGTGCAGTCAATTTACTATAACATTACTACAGTAATATTTTGAATGCATATTTGTACATGTACTGCATCATTATTACATTGTTTTTGTATTGGGACCTTTACTCTTCTTAATACTTCTTCAATCACTGGTGGAGTCTGACCTTTTTGGGGATGGGGTAAAAGAAGATGATTGGTAGTTATATATACAGAATGATGTCCTTCAGGATGGGCTTGTATGCTATATTTAGAATATAAGTATCTTCTTTTATAAGAAAACGTCTAAAAAACTCTAAACTCTTTAGAAGACATCGGAGTGAATAATGTCACGTCATTGTGAATCTATATTATATATATACTGTATACATATAGTATATATACATATAGCTATAAAGACCATGACTGATCTTATCAACAAGGCTTCAGTAGTTGTTGTTCTTTGCCATAGTGATGAATTAAAAAATAAATGTTATTCTTCTAACATTTCCAATAAAACAGTTTATCCATAGTTTGGATGTGAAGATGCTGCATCTTTTACCACATGAGGGCGGTATAGCCTCAGTAATCAAGTGACAAAATGTCAAGGCAACATCAACACTATTTATGTTTGTACAGGATTATGTGTATTAAATTGCTTGTAAATCAGAGTATAGGTGTTGCAAACAATAATATACACGGGTTGAAATGTTATGATTAAAATCGCTGAAAACGAATGACATATCTTTAACAGGACAGAAAACCATGGATCCTTAAAACGCTGTAATATAACATGAATTTATCCAGACTAATATGTGAAGATTTGTTCATTACATGTTAGTCGCTTTTATCCAAAGCGACTTTAATACTCAATACTGTGGGCAATCCCCACAGGAGCAATTTGGGGTGAAGTGTCTCAGGGACACAACAACATGCTGACTGCAGTGTGGTTTGAACCTGTGCTGCCCTGATCCCAACACCAACGCACTAATCCACTGCGCCACACGCCTCCCTTCATATTAATGTTAAGGATTGCTAATACCAAGACGTGAGTTCATAGGAAGGGTAAACATATGGTGAGAAAGTACTTCAGTTATGTAACCTTTGTCATTTATCCAGCGATGACTCACTGACTGACTTCTCAGAGTCAGCAGCTCTGTTCTCTCTTCCATGAACCAGGAGGAGAGAGATGTTGCTAAAGAGCACATGTGCGTCACTTTCTGCAACAGCATGTGGGCGGCCATTTCTTCAGATGTTTGCTGAAACTCAGAGGAATGGCTGACATAAACCCAGCACATTAGGGGTGTGTTGTTCTTAAGGGAAAGGAAGTTTCTGGCAAACAATTATCGTCATAGAAAAAAGGCCATGACTGTGAGAACACAAAAAAGAGAGTGTTGAAAAGCTGAATGCAGGGCCTGCGATGAATTTGCCTCCTTCACTGACACATTTAAAAGAGGCAGTCAGTGCCTCTGTACCAGGTGCAGGAAATATGTTGTCCCTGTGTCCATTTAAAATCAATTCAAACACCATGACACAATTCCATCTGATCAACGATAAAGACCTAGAGGACATTACACAACATCTGCAATCCTCCTCCTGCTGCCTTGATATTATACCAACAGGCTTTTTCAAAAATGTTTAACATTGCATTCCCTCAAATCTACTTCACATAGTAAACAAGTCTCTTCACTCAGCATTATTTCCACAGGCCCTGAAAACTACAGTCATTAAACCGCTCTTAAAAAAGAACAATATAAACACATTAGTAAAGAACAATTACAGGCCCAGATCAAACCTCCCATTTCTAAGTAAAATCATTGAAAAAGTTGACTTTCAACAGCTGTGTCATTTCATGGATTTAAAATTTGGAGTTTGGATGTGTTCCAGTCAGGTCTTCATTGACGTCTACTGTACTTAAACACAGACAGTCGCAGAATCTCAGTGTTAGTTTTAGTGGATCTTAGCTCTGCATTTGACACTGTTGACCACAACATGTTACTAGACCAACTTGAAAACTGGGTGTGACTTTCTGCACAAGTTCTAAATCAGTTTGAATCCTATGTAAAGTACAGGTAATAATTTGTTTCTATTAGTAACTCTGAGTTTAAGAATATGACATTCGGGGTTCCTCAAGGCTCCATCCTGGGGCCTCTTCTCTTTAACATCTACAGGCTTCCACTGGCTCAGATAATGGGAAACAACAGAATAAACTACCACAGCTATGTAGACGACACATTTACATAACCATTTCACCAGGAGACTATGCTCCAAATCAAGCATTGTGAGTAAGTGCGTTGAAGAAATCAATGACTGGATGTGTCAGAACTTTATTAAATCAAACAAAGATAAGACTGAGGTAATTGTAGTAATAATGGACTACTATCACCTTAAGAGTACATCTAGGATTTATATCACAGCAGGATTTTTTAAAACGTGTCCATGCTTTTATCTTCAGTAGACTCGACTACTGTAATGGTGTCTTTGCAGGTCTCAGTAAAAAATTGATTTCAAAGCTGCAGCTAATTCAGAACGCCGCTGCTCGAGTCCTCACTAACACTAAGAAAGTGGATCACATCACTCCTGTTCTGAAGTCTTTACACTGGCTTCCTGTGTGTCAAAGAATAGATTTCAAAATACTGCTGCTGGTTTATAAAGCTTTGAATGGTTTAGGGCCAAAATATATTTCTGACCTACTGCTAAATTATGAACCATCCAGATCTCTCAGGTCTTCAGGGACTGGTCAGCTTTCTGTCCCCAGAGTCAGAACTAAACATGGTAAAGCAGCGTTCAGTTATTATGCTCCAAATATCTGGAACAAACTCCCAGAAACCTGCAGGTCCGCTGCAACTCTGACTACTTTTAAATCCAGGGTGAAGACTTATCTTTTCGTGGCTGCCTTTAATTGAACTAGTCACATCTTAAACTGCACTGTAACTTTTATTCATGTGTTTTATACCTGTGTTTTTCTGTATGAGCTTGTTTTATGTTTGATTTGATCTCTTTGCTTTTTAATGAAATGTTTTAATTTATTTAAAGCACTTTGAATTGCCTTTTGTTGACAGATACTTTATATAAATAAACTTGCCTTGCCGACCCGTCATAAAGCTCTGTGAGGTTGTACTTCCATATCTCAGTGATCTGTGTTTGAGGACATTACGTGTCTTTGGCTCCATTTCCTCTCACATTTCCCGAAAAGATGTTCATGAAACCGCCAAAAGTGAACTAACCCTTTAAAACTTTTAATCAACTGAGGATTAAATTACTTCTGCTCTAAATTACAAATGTCTTCAACTCATCAATTTTGCGAATGAATGTTTTAATATAAGTTTGGATTATGAAAAAGTTCTCTATGAAATAATAATAGTGTGTTATAATATAATTATTATAATCAGAAATCACAATCAAAATAGCAAGAACTGGCTTCCAGGTTTTATTGGTTATTGTAAGCTTTATTATACAGATACTTGATTACTGATAGATACCAAGGTATGAGAACAGTTTATATATCACTGCAATATACAACAAAAACAAATGCATAAAATCCAATAATAATCAAACGTTTTTACATGTAATGAAATCACAATCATTTAATTTGAAATATTGAGAATTTATATGTTTGCGTATATATTTGTATTGCTATCTTAAGTTTCACCTT